CCCCATCAAAAATCTATCGAACTTTGAAGTTGTGTACCTCTATAAGAAATAAACCGATCTAAAAAATTCAAATTACGTTTTGAAGCTTGTACCAAGCCCTTCAATACATGATGAAAATATTTCAAAAAATAATGTTTAGTTAATTTTTTATAAACAAATGAAAAAATAAAATTTTCAATTTTTTTCGTCCATTTTCAAATTGGCATAACTTTGTTAAAAATAATCGGATTAAAAAAAAACAAAATGGAGGTTAAAGCTATGGTACTCCTCTTTAAAATGCGCTATGCAGAATTTCGGTTCATTTATTTTTTAGGGAATTTTTTAATTTTATGTAAAAAAAACCACATTTTTTTCAACAGCCCATAACTCAAAAACTATGAGTCAAACTAAAAAAATCATAAGAGCAAAAATTATGCGTTTTTACTCAACGAATACGAATTCAACGTAAAATATTCAAATTTAAAAAAAAATTTTTTTTTTTACCAGGAAAAAAAGATTTTTATTTACATTTATTTATTAAACTTTTAGTGAAATGTTATATAATGAGTTATGCGACTTGTATACGTAGTATTGATTAAAATAAATAATGGATATTTTTTACAATCGGTATACAATCTACTTTATAATACCTATCGTACCTATGATAACACAGGCCGACAAAAAATTTTACCAAGAACCCGAGTATAGTTTTCCGAAGGTTTTTTGCGCGCTGAATCCGAATCCGAGGTCAGAATTACTCTGGTGGCTCCGGTTTTCGAGATATCCTAACCTTAATGTGCAAAAAACGCGATTTTTGCCTATATTTGAGGTTATGTAGCAAAGAAAAGAAATTTTTTTTCAAAAAACTGTATACATCAAATTAAAGTATGAGTTTTCTTCTTTCAAATGCTGTTGAGTATGCTCGGATATCTTTTTTTTTCACGAAGTTACACAAATTTGAAAATTTCAAATTTTATGAATTTAAAAAGCACCACACCATTCAGCCCAAGCTATCTAACAAGTAACCATATTAAAGAGCCACTCACCAATTTAAACCAAACTTGGAAATATGACAAAACACTAAAAAATATTGCGAGCATCGTGCTTCTATTTACAAAATGCTCTCTTACGGGTAGAAACCACCCCTGCCAACCCCTAAACGGGCTCACCCACATAACCCTGGGTAGAGCAAGTTTAATTAACTGCTTTTCGATAAAAAAAACTCATTTTCCAATCACAGGTATGCGTACTAATCTCGACCTAGATAAGCCTCATCCCCAAATACCTCCTCAACCCTTTAAAACCAGCCCTCCCAACCCCTAAGCAGGCACACCCACATGACGCTGGGTAGAGCAAGTTAGCCAAGTGCTTTTTAATGAAAAAATTTAATTTTTTAATCAAAAATGGGCGCACACATCTTTACCTAGATATGCCTCATCCTACTTTTATTTTCGACCCTTAAACCCACCTTTACCTTCTCCTAAGCAGGCTAACTCACGTAAACTTGGGTAGAGCATGTTTAATTAAGTACTTTTTGATAAACAAAGTAAATTTTTAACCACATATCGGCTTACTAATTACATTCTTGATATGTCTAATCATTATACGTACACTATTACAACCCTTAAACTACCTCTTTAAACGCCCAAGCAAGGTACCCTACCACTGTTCACCTGTATCATGGTGAAAAGGAGATCAGTTGTGCTACCGCGCAGCCTCTTTCATCCGACCAATCACGTTCTCATCCAAATCGCCGCCATATTAATTTCTTAAACTAAGCCTGTACACCCTAAAATCTAATACTCTAAGCCAACTTTCTTAAATATTCACCATCTCAAATCCACTCACCCCGAAATTCATACACACAAAGAATCGATCAGTGACTTGTTTTTTCTTTTAGGGCCGGGTGTGTAAGCGTGAGTTTCGTTGGCTCGGGATGTGTAGGTTTGAAGTGGTGAGTTTTGCTTGTGTGAGAAAGTTGAGGATCTGTGAATTTAGATGAGGTGTATTAGTTTGTGGATTTTATGATGTTTTGGACTTGGATGTGTACGTGCATATGTGTATGGGCAGCCTCTTGCTACGTGAGTTTAGGAGTATGTGTGGACTAAATACGATACTGTTTTGTAAGAATTTTTATTTGAACTTTTAAAAATTAAAAATGGTTTATTACCGCTCTCAGCCGAACCCAGAGTCACGAAACGTGGACGTGGCGGTATTGACTCCTTTCGTTTTTTTTTTGTTTTTTTTTTCATTTTTTATTTTTTTTTTTATTTTTTTGAGAATTTTAATTTTAATAAAATTAATTCCTTCATCGAATTTCACATGATTAAAATAGCTTACCCAGGGTTCTATGCCAGGGTTAGCCTGCCCAAGGGTTTTTAAGGGTTGTACATGTATACAGGGATAAGGCATATCCAGGTTAAGATGTGTATGTCTATTTGTGATTAAAAAATTAATTTTTTCATCAAAAAGGATTTAATTAAACTTGGTGTAACTAGGGTTACGTATATAAGCCTGCAAGGGGTAGATAGGGGTGGCTTTTAACCCTTTTCGGCATACATTTTTCTATTGACTATTCTGGCTTAAAATTTCTTACTCGGGGGTTTTCGGGGTCGCTGAATACGAATCTACAGTCAGAATTTTCATTTTTGAAAATCCAAGATGGCAGACTCAAGATGGTGGATGAAAATCATAGAATTAGCATATTTTTGGTTGGAAATTAGTACTCGGGGGTTTTCGAGGTCGCTGAGTTCGAATATACTACCAAAATTTCGTTTTTTCAAATCCAAGATGGCGAACGCCAGATAGCGAATTCAAAATGGTGGAAGATATTTTTTTGAAATCAATATTTCGCTCGGAAAATAGTAACTTGAAGGGTTTCCATAACCCCCGAGAATGAGTTTTTTTTACCGAAAAGCAGTTGATTAATCTTGCTCTACCCAGGGTCATGTGGGTGTGCCTGCTTAGGGGTTGGTAGGGGTGGTTTTAAAGGGTTCAGCAGGTATTTGGGGATGAGGCTTATCTAGGTCGAGATTAGTACGCATACCTGTGATTGGAAAATGAGTTTTTTTTATCGAAAAGCAGTTAATTAAACTTGCTCTACCCAGGGTTATGTGGGTGAGCCCGTTTAGGGGTTGGCAGGGGTGGTTTCTACCCGTAAGAGAGCATTTTGTAATTAGAAGCACGATGCTCGCAATATTTTGTAGTGTTTTGTCATATTTCCAAGTTTGGTTTAAATTGGTGAGTGGCTCTTTAATATGGTTACTTGTTAGATAGCTTGGGCTGAATGGTGTGGTGCTTTTTAAATTCATAAAATTTGAAATTTTCAAATTTGTGTAACTTCGTGAAAAAAAAAGATATCCGAGCATACTCAACGGCATTTGAAAGAAGAAAACTCATACTTTAATTTGATGTATACAGTTTTTTGAAAAAAAATTTCTTTTCTTTGCTACATAACCTCAAATATAGGCAAAAATCGCGTTTTTTGCACTTTAAGGTTAGGATATCTCGAAAACCGGAGCCACCAGAGTAATTCTGACCTCGGATTCGGATTCAGCGCGCAAAAAACCTTCGGAAAACTATACTCGGGTTCTTGGTAAGATATTTTTGTCAAATTCTGTCGGCCTGTGTAATAGTAGTTCGTATACAATGAATGCACGCATATATATACCTTGATGTAAAAGTAAAGACTATAAGTTTTGCGGGATTTCTGCGTCGCAATACACTACTATGTATATGCGAAACAGTGTCTTGTGTTTACGAAAATTTTTCGTGACCATGGTTCAAGGAGAGTTACAAGTTTACTATAGTTTTTTTCATTTGTTTATAAAAAATTAATTAAAGTTTATTTTTTTAAATATTTTCATCATGTATTGAAGGGCTTGGTACAAGCTTCAAAATGTACTTTGAATTTTTTAGATCGGTTGATTCCTTATAGAGGTACAGAACTTCAAAGTTTGACAGATTTTTGATGGGGTGGCCAAATGTATGTGAGCGGCAGTGTAGTTCATTATATTTACCCTGTAACGATCGATGTAAAATAGTCCCTAATAGAGTAATTTTTATTTTAATATGTATCTCGGCATCTGTATTTTTTTGTTCTCGAATAAACTCTAAGTTTTCTACTTTTGTATGTAGGATAAACAGAGCACTTGACACGGCACTACTTATTTTCTACATACAAGCCGCGCACTACTCGAAGGGAGCAATAAAACCGGTTTCTATGGATGATATTCTCTTTCCAAAAAAGGGAATTTAATTTCAAATTTTCAACATTTCGTCCTCCATAAATGATACATTTATATTTTTGTCTTTAAGTTATATGTCGCTTTATGTTTTTATATTTTATGTACTTATCCTAGTAGGGATTTGTCAAGTTATTATCAATTGATTTTATCACTAAACTATAATTCTTTTATATATATTTTACATTTTTATGTACTTTACATTTATAATTTGCATTATTCTTGTACACGAATTGGATAACAATCTTATGCTTTCCCTACGTTGCTAGTTTTAAGTTAATTTTAAATAATTTTGTAGATATATAAATGTATAAAATCTCTCTGCACTTGTATGAAACCATTTTCAAACTATAGCTTTTCCCGCGAGCTATTGGTAACTTTGAGGTGGAAGAGAGATATCTTCCCCCTGACCTTCACTATTGACGTGGCAGGCACGCATGCGCGGCGTGCTTTAATTGTTAGACAAACTTTTAGCGTTGATATTGAAGACTTGACAAAATATAACGAATAAATAATCTCTTTTTTAGAATTTCCTTTATATATGTTTGAAATAGGCCTAGAAATCATTCTCAAAAAAAAAATTCGAAATAGTTTTTATAGAAACTTAATCTAAAGCATCGTATGGTGTCACGGTAATAACGGTCATTAAAAAAGTTTCTGTATGTTTTAGTGGTTGTAGGTTCTATAAAGTTGATGGTATTATTAGAAATCAAATGAATTTATTGAATACTCGAATAAATACTATTTCTTGAGTACGATTGATAATATGATACTTACTGATTCTCTGGTGGTGCAGTGAATATGGTACTATTTACTGGATCGATGTCTTCTACGTCATGTAAATCGTCTGGTATATCTTCAAGGAATATATCAAAATCTGGGTCAATGTTTGACTGTTCAATAAAAGCTGCTGTATCCTCATTTTCAGTGCTTGGGGAATCATTTTTTTTGCTACATTCAGTCTGAAAAAAGTTTTCGTGTATTGGATGAATACGTAAGTGAATAAATAAATATTTGAATGTTACTTTCACTCTCATGTAACTCAATCATAAGTTCAATATAAATGTAGGATAAGAGAAATTATTAAAGATATATTGCAAATTATAAGTCTTCAGATTTTATTTCAAACATGTAAATATTTTATTTCAAACATATAAATATTTCATTTCAAATATGTAAATACAACACTATATCAACAAACTGACACCCTTGTTTGTTGGGCGAGACCATTACAATGGTAGTGCCGGTAGTGATAGTAAACGCTGATCTTAGCTCTTCCTCTTTGGACCGTCGAAGAAGCTACACACACTTTGACCAGCTTTAACTCACGCTTGTGTACGCTATTGACGATCAGCGATGAATTTTTCAGATATTTGTGTTTGAATAATTAATATATATAAATAATTTATATTCCTTATAAATTCTTAACCCGAACTCTCAACCGCGTGTTTTTGCTTTATTGAATAAAACTCAGATTTTTTTTTTTATAACTACGAAGATTAATTATTTTTATTTTTTAACCATGTAAACAGAATAAATATTTCTAGTTGCTATTCTCATTATAAAAGCATTTTTATCTTTTGTAATTATCATTGAAATTCTTGAAGATAATCCGTGCAATTGCGTTTGTGAATCACCACGTTCTTTTAATTTATAATGAAATGAAATAAAACAAATTTTTTTTTCGGAAAAATATAAGATATTATAACAATTTTAAAGCTTAAATACAGTAATATTATATTTCACCGAAATTTTTTAGGGTAATACTTAAATTAACGTTTGCGAACTACCACGTGGTTTCAAATTCATAATATATATAACGCGAGTTCTTTTCGCGATAACGAAAAAAATTTATGGGTTGTTAACTCATCTATCCAAATCATTAAGATTGTGATATTAAAATTTAAATAAATCATTACGTGGGTTAAAGTTTTTAATATAAAATGAGTCCTTTTTTTAACAAAAACAAAAGAAATTATTTCTTATAACTAAGGTTTTAAAAGTACAATTTAGAAAAATCAGTTACCACTTGATACTGATCTTACACTATATCAATGAGTAGTATATTAAATAAAAAATAATTTCAATTCTGTATTTGCCTTGTATTACAGAGTATTCAGAATGCTGGTCAATAGCGAAGGCAAGCTCATTAACTTCACTTCCAATGGGAACATCGATTATCTTATGGAAGTAAATATTAAAGACTACTGCGTGTAATTATTCTGTTATTATTACTCTATGGTAGACATTACGTAACTTTTGTTTTGAAACAATATCTTATTTTCAGAGAATATACTGGATACTTACTATTAGCTGAAGTGTATGGTCGTAATAAAGTAGACAAGGACCAGAATTACGATTTGTTCAAAGCCGTTATAACTAATGGCTCAAGAAAGATAATGCTTTTGATATGGGATACCGATATCGTGGATGAGTTAGCAGACAATCTTGTGGACCTGAAGGTAATTTTTAAACTTCAAATATCTCATTTTTCCACTAGATATAATATAGATGTATATATTTACATAAATGTTTGCAGATATTATATTTGGATGGAGCCCAAGGTCAAATAGTACAGTAACACAAACATCATCGTGATAACAATATACTAAATTATGAGCTTATTATTCAGAAAAAAACGATTGTGAAGTATAAAGGTTCACATCTAATTCAATATACAAGCCACCATATTAATTTTCATGATTTTGGTAAAGGTCCAGGAGAAGAAATATGTGAGTATATTGCTACAATATTATTTTTCATTTCTGACTTTTAATAACTTATTGATTTTGATTTCTTTTAGTTGTCAAGTGCTACATCAAGACTATTGTGACCGCAAATAATAACATGTCTGTTAAGATGTCATTTAGATCAGGGACTGTGACAGATGGCGAATACAAAGATCACTTGCAAGTTACAAAGTTTGCTGATGATGATTCTAATGATTACAAAAAAGGAATGTGTTTTGATTAGGGGAATAGTCAGTAGTACAGATGTGTTTTTAATTATATATACTGCAACCGTAGTCGATTCAATTAATCGATACGTTCGCGATTCTATTACTCGCGTGTTAGTTCGAACGATCAAGAGTGAGAGAGGGCGTGCGAGAGTTTGAAAGTAGGCAGTTAAGCCTCAGCTGTTTTCGCGAGAATACCGTCAATTCGTTTTGCACTGTGTTTTGCCGTTTCAATAAAAGTTTCTGGGACTATTTTTTTACGTGCGTGAGTGCAGCAGCATTGTAGCAGCAGCAGGAAGCAACGCTGCAACAACAGCAATAAAAGCAGCAGCAGATTGGAAGTGAGGCAGCGCAGCTAATTTCTTTGAGGAGCACCGTTGATTCTACAACAATTACGGCTGATCACCGTAATTGCAACGCAGGGTAGGTGCACCTCCCTTTATTATTGCGTTACAAAATACGTTCGAAAGTATTTTGTCAATCGCGATCTTGGATCTTTTTGTATTCGCGCCGAGCGTTAGTTTTCGCGGAAATTTTCGAATTCTCTCTCTCTCTCTCTCTCTCTCTCTCTCTCTCTCTCTCTCACCGAATATGAATAATTAATTGTAAATCCTATTCGCGTGCGTTAGTCTTGCGGCCCATAAAAGACAGTAATTTTTATTGATTAAACTCAGTTAATTTTATTCGCCGTTTATGTAATTTCGTTTCCTATTAGCTTAACCGATTTATAAAGGCTTAGGTTTTAATCCGATTTCATCTAGGGGATTAGGCGAATTAGGCATAAAGTCAGTCACACCTAAGATAGATCGAGTGTCAAAAGTCAAGTGACTTAAGGTGAGTTCAACTCGGTTAGAAAGAAGACACTGAAACGAAATCATCAGATACAAAGGCGAATACACGTATAACTATACGTGCTTAACGGAGCGGCAGTTAGCTCTGCATCCTGGGAGTTTGTGCTTAAAGAAATTCCTATTTTTGCCAGATAACCTACCCAGTTAACCGCGTGACAATACATTCTAAATCATTGGAAGAAACTTATATCACTCGTCTTGAAATATTATTTAAGATAAAATTAGTTAAAAATTTTTTTTGTTAATTAGGTAATGAGATAATCAACTTTAAAGAGTAGCCAATCAGCGGCCGGCTTTAGAATGTAGAACGCAGCTTGGCCGGCGCGGACCGGCGTGAGAGCTGACATTCGCGCACCGCAGTCAACTGAAAACGGTACTCAAATATATTTATAGGCGTAATGAATTCTGCTTGCTAACTGCAATTTTCAGTAATTCAACAATTACTTGAATTAACCCATTAATACCCAAGCCGAATCTGGTAGAGCTAGCCTTGAAATAACTATTGAGTTCATGTTATAGCTCAAAAATAATCTACACGTGTTTTTTCTTTTTGCATTTCCAATTGTTTATAAAAAGTTATTTAAACAAATTGAGAAAGGTTTTAGTTTTTTGAAAAACTATTTACGGCAATCGGGTCTACAGGAAAAACCAAGGCGAAAACCTCTGTAGCGTTTTTTCGTCAGGCTCGATTTTGTTGGTGTAATTTCGTTATAAACAATTTGAAACTGAGAAGTGATGCTGACAAAAACCTCTCTAACATTATTTTCTTCGACCCAACTGTTTTTGTTAATCATTATGGGTAAAAGAACTACTTTCTTCAAAACAGATCCTTAAAAAACAATTACGAATGATTTTCTCTGTGAGTTTTGCAAAAATAAATATCACATTTTGAACAACAATATTCAGTCAATACTGAACAATTTTCGATGTCACACTTTCTACGTTTCCTAACCTTTATCTGATGTTCCTCTGTCGGAGTTTTAACTTTTTTCTGTCGTTTGGGTCGATGAGTATTTTCGAGTTTTTGAATATAATATACACAAACTTCCTCCACAATATCTTTTGAACCTTTCTTCTCATCTGGATAGAGTTTATTGTAAATAACAGTAGCATTAGCTAATGAAACTTGAATAAGTCTCATGAGGAGACACCACGTCCATTTTTTGCATCGGATTGTAGGCATAAGTGCATTACAATGCTGGTCGTGTAAGTTTACTCCACCCATGTGCCTATTATACATTGAGAAAGCTTGAGGAAAGAGAATTTTTTGTTTAGTTTTATTATTCCATCTTTTCATTTCAACTTTCGGTTCATCTCCGTATGTAGTTGAGAGATCTGATACGGGTTTTGAGTCCATCACAGTTATGTAATTCAGTTTTGAATTGGCTTCATGAACTGAAATAGTGGTTCCTCTATCAACTTTCTTTGACATATCGATTTTTGCTTTGACGCGATTTTGACGAACAGTTCCTGTAGCCGATAATCCAATATTTCTTAAGTGAATCATGAGATCTGGAGATGTAAAGAAGTTATCAAAAAACAAATGATATTTTGCCAGATTTTCATTTTTAACCGTCTCCAGGAACCTTTGAAGTAATTTGACAACCACTCTCGATCCCAAACAAACAGAAGCTAAAGGATTTTCAGATTCAGTACCAAACTTGCCCGTATATATATCTAAATCATATATATATATATATATATATATATATATATATATATCCATCTGAAGAATATAGTGCCCACAGCTTTATCCCAAATCTTATAGGTTTGTTCCTAATGCATTGCTTGATGCTGAATCTTCCAAAATATTTGACATAACTTCGTCAATTGACAAATTATAATCAAAAAATCCATATCTCATACAATTTTCCCTAAATAATTCAAATAAATATCTGACTCTCCAGACTTTATCTTTTTTATCTTTGTCTTGAAGTTTATAAAACCTAATGTTTTTTTTTATTTTTACAAATTTTTCCCTTGGCATAAGTTCTTTTATTATTGGACACTGCAAAAGTCGTTTGCTGGATCAATAGTCATACTGCTTTTTCCTAGAATTAACTATAGTAATCATAATGATCACGATGAATCGGTCTAAATCATCATTGGTTAATTCAAAGTGGTTTTCGGAAGTAGCTTCTATAATAAAGTTTTT